GTATAAGCAAGTAAAGCACATACATAAGACTGCCAACCTCTCTGTACTGACACTGTACTGTAGTCAATGTCATCAAAACTAGGGGATTGTCAGCTGGACTCCATCTGACAGTTGGTAGAAGGAAATTAGCCTCTCTCAGAGTGATCTGTTGGTAGATTTTTCCACTGCCAAGCCCTCTGCAGCAGTTCAGATTTCAAACCTTCCTCTATGTGTCCTTGGGACTGTTGCAGCCCTAGCTGGAGTAGTAGAACTGTGCTTGACCAATGCTCAGCATTCAGCCAGTCTTGCACATGGGATAAAACAGAGCAGGTTTTGCTCCATTCATTGAAAATAACCCCCTCCTCTTCTCAGGCTGGCTCTTATCAGTACTCTGTATTCCCTCTGTCTAAGTGTGTATGTACCAACAGGTCACACCCCTGTCTGTTACTCAGAGAATTTTCCCACCATTTTGCTTCCCTCAGACCCAGCACCTTCCCCAGAGTTGCTTGACACAGGGTGTATCTACACGTGCAACTAGCACAGGGGTGGGCTGGATGCGGCCCACCAGGCCATTCTATCTGGCCTGCGGGGCCCCTAAAAAATTTAGAAAAGGAATATTTCCCTGCCCCTGGCTGCCTGTCATGCGGCCCTCGATGGCTTGCCAAAACTCAGTACGTGGCCCTCTGCCCAAAATAATTGCCTGCCCCTGAATTAGCACATATCAATAAATTCTGGCACAGCTTGCACTGGAGTTTATGTCTCCTTGGTGCAGTGTTCACACATACGCCCAGGACTGCAGCACTTTGAGCCAAGATGGAGCAGCCCTGGGCTGGCAGGAAACCTTGGGGGGTGGTGTCAGCCTGCCAACCTGGGACTGCTCCACCCCAGCCCAGTACTTGTCCCAGACAATACTATCCTATAGCAGAGTAAATTAATTTCCTGTGCCCTAATAGGGGTGCATGTGTAGACGGTGATGCTTTACTGCTGAGCCCATTAGTCAGCTCTGCAGTAAAGCGCACATGTAGATGCACCCACAGGGTTCTCCCTGTCCCCCAAAGCCACCAGTCTCCCCTTTTCCTCCAAGCTCCCTTTGCAAAGTCATGTGACAGGCAGAAATGCCAGTGTCAGGCAGATCTGTGGCAGTGAACAACAGAAGAAACTACTAGTAAAGGCAACAGTTTACAACAAAATTCCCATCATGGGTGATCTAACACATCCTGCACTCTTTTCCCCATGTTAGGTGGGCCTGAGAAAAAATGAAATTCCAGGATAGGACCAGAAATGCTAAATAGCAGGAGCAAGTGCAAGCAGCCATTTCAGGAGGCCCTGCTGGAAATGGATGAGGTCTGGCCACTCTCCATATTTTTCATGCTGGATATTCCCTCCCTATAGTCACTGTTATGTTTCTTTTCACCAGCCAGCCTTGTCCCTCATATGCACTTTTCTTAGCTTCTCCCTACCCTACCTGTGTGCTCCACTTCTCTTTTGGCTACTCCCCTGCTATCCCTGCCTGTTCTAGGGTTTTCCGTATACTTCATGTTCTCCAAACAATATCCCACACCTCCTCTCCCATCCTTTATCTGGTCTGCTTCTACTGGCAACACTTCGGAGCAGGGACTGTCTGGCTCAGAGCCTTGAAGGTATAGAGGCACTCCCATTGAAATCACTAGGTGTTAGGTGTTTAAACACTTCTAAGGATCTAGGCTGCTATTACTCATGTTTGTTACAGTACTAGTGTAATGAGAGACCATTCTCAACTGGCTCCAAGCATTTCATTGCAAAATGCTGTATCATGATGACAATCTGCTGTGAGATTAAACTACTACCTCAGATTGCCTCATACAGTTTTCTAGTCTCTAAATGCTGATGTGACCTGATGCTGATGTGCCCTGAATTATTCCTTTTATTAAACAACTGGAGGGGGAAAAACCCAGGGCTGGCAGTAGCTTGCTTTCAGTACAACTTCTGGAATTAACTGGGAACACTTTATAAAGTAACCAAGAATCAGGTCTCTTTAGTGCCATCTGCTGTAGCTGGGGGGCAAGTCAGGCAATCTTAAACCATATCCTGAGGTTTTAGAGGTCTAACAACAGGCACGTGATTCTGCACCCAGGGATAACAATCTTTAGTCCCTTCAAATGCCAGCAGATGGACAGAGTGAACAGCTGGTGATCCAGATAAATAAAGATCCCCTCACCTGTGGTCAGCTGTCCCTGTCTGTCTGTTTGAGGGGTGCTTCCTGTAGCAGAAGCCTGGAGGGAACCTAGTCTAAGGAGCTTTCTAACCACACTTTTTAAGTGAAATTAGTCCCAGAAGTCTGTGGGAGTGGTGAG